GTTACCCAGGATCAACGTCGTTGTACTTTACTGTTTTAGCAATATTATTTAGCTCTTTAGTGAGATACAAATATTAAGTTCGATCAGGTATGAAAATATCGGTTTTAAAATTTCTAAGAATATTATTATTGCCGATAAATATGGGAAAATTATTAAGTAATCTTACTATTTTATTTCATTTTTGATATTATTTTGTAAAGTGATGTAATCACTCTGTGGATTGGGCATCTCTGTATGCTTTCCTTACAGAAGATCGCCCGGGCCTTGCCGTGTTTGACCCGATGATGTGGAAAAGGAAAAGACTCGGGGAGTACGAAGAATACGTTTGAAGTGAACACCGATATTATTATTCCCTCCGGGATTGAATAATTTCCAATATAGTTTACAGTGGATTGATATAACTTTTTTATTGGCTGTAGAGTTTTCTGGTTCCGACGTCCCTTGCTGGACAGCGCCATGAAGCGTAAGCAACTCTATTGGGTAGAAGCGGTGGCCTCGGATGACTTCGTCTGATACCATTTTTACCTGCGGCACTGGGAGGTTTAGTCACCCGCTCGCCGATAAAACGATTTCCAGACAGCTTGGACATCTCCTCCTTGATGCTAATTACAAGGGACGTCAGGGATAGATGACGCGGAGACTCTTCCTCCTGATCGTAGGCTGCTTTAGGATAATTGGTATATTGGTCTGTTTTGGGTATATTGGTCTATTGGGTATTATGGCTATATTTGGGTATATTGGCTCTATTTGGGTCCATTGGCTCTATTGGTTTATTTTGGATCCGAAGACGCACTTGCTTTCAGTTCAATTGTTTTGAGGGTTTCAACTGACCCTAGACTGTTCTGCACTATATTTTATTGAGCACTGCCAGTCTGCGACTGTTGTGTCTTCATATTGCTTTTATGTGATGGCTAGGTATTAAAGTTTATTGTCTGAGGCCTCCATAGAGTGCCTGTATGCTAGGGGAGCTTTTTGCATAGCGCCTCCTTGGAAGGCGCGTGTATGGCAGCTTTAGATCTAATGTGTTGGCAGCTTAAGAGCTAGGTGCCCTTTGAGTGTTTTCGCCGTAGGTCGGACGGACCTAGGCAAGTAGCTTAAGAGAATATAACTCAAATTTGAATTTCATAGAAATTGATTTATTGGTTACTTTCTTGGTAAATAAATAAATATGAGCACATTCAATAGAGGTATATAATACTATACATATGAAATTTGGATCATGTACTAACACTGTCCAGGTTCCGATTGCTGGTTACTGAGCTGACGATTCGTACATGGGCTATGGCAGCTCCACAGGTGTCTCGCCTCCTTTTCCCTGAACGGTTCTTCCTCCTTTAAATCCCATCTATCGGCCTCTGATGATGTCGATTGCTGTAGCGGGATGGTTTAGGACTGCTTGGAGTAGTTTTTGGAGCGACGACAGAAACATTTGAGAGATCGGTAAATTTTAGGTAGTTCCTGCAGCGCGTTGTTCTGGGGGGTCCCCGTTGACAACATCGGCCGCTGTGTCGACGGCAACTTTGGAATCTGAGGTTAAAATTCCAGTCGCAGTCTCTGCATAGAGCGACTTTTGATAGCTTCACGGTCCCGATTGGAAACATCAGTGAATTGTTTAGAATTTTTGATTTTTTGTATTACGATAAATCTCCACTCATAAAAAAGTACATATTACTATACAATCCTGTTACATACATAGGTAACTATTTTGTATTGTTCTTACCAAACCAGTATCCCTCAAATCGAATCATTAATAAAAAGTGATAAGAATATTTCCGTTTCTAATGTACTTACTGAACTACACAAATATAACGCAGATCTTTTAATCAACCTGTAGACAGCCACTAACTAGTAAAAGACTCCTACGGATTCATTGGACCCCTTTCAAATTTTTGTTGATTCCCAAGAAGTTCATATAGATCTGTTGGGAATCCTCAGTCTATTACATTTGAGATTCCTTACAATTTTGATAAATTATACCTGTACATATTATAAATAAATTATATTACTGGCACGTTTTTAGATAGGTATTGCATTGCTAGTTTTTAATCAGCTTCTGGTTCACATAAAAACCATTCATAAAGGAACTCACTCACTTTCTCTGGTTCCGTTAAGCGCGGCATATTTAATTACCAAGCAAATTACTAATGACACTGACATATAAAAACTTCATAACGTCATAATAAGAAAAGTAGACCACATCACATTATAGTAGGGGAGCCCAAGAGGGGATTTTGGGAGTTACTCAAGCGCAGCAGATTAACATATGGGGGATACCTTGCACCCTGTTGAGTACCTCCACCATATCTCTAAGTCCTCTATATAAGGCCGCGCGTGTAGGGCAGCCAATCAGAATAGTAAAAAAAAATCGATAGTTAGAAATACTCGAGCGCGTCAGATTAAGATATGATGGGTTAATTACATGCTGAAAAGTGTGCATTTCAATAATCTGACGATTTGAGCGTGACGAAGGCAGTCGGAAGGTCACAAAGTTGCAAAAAAAAACGTCACCTCGGCATTCTCGAACGCGGTCGATTTTTTTTTATTTTGAAGGAAATAATTAAAGGATAACGGGAAAATATAATCTGCCGATTTCCACAAGCCGAAGTAACAAAAATCGTTAATAAAGTTTAGCGCGTGCAGCTGCAGGGAAATACATGTTGTTTTGAAACTCCGTCAGGAAACTCCGGGATGTGATTCTATGGATTAAAATAATAGCAGTATGTAATGAAAATTTTTTTCGAATTGTCAATTGTTTGCAAGTTACAGATTGTCGAAGTTCATTTTTTTTTATTTTTTTATTTAAATAACTTATTTAATTCATGTTCGATTAGTCTCTCATTTGGCACACCCACTAAGTAGATGAAGCTCTATTGGACCAGTCAGAGAAAAGTTTCATTATGCGCCGCTAGAGGACACTTTACCTAGAACTCAAAATTTGTTTGGTTCTTAACTTTTTTCTCTTGCTAGACATCACAGAAATTTAAACATTATTGAAAAGAGAAACAATGTCAGAAAAAAATATGTACTCTTTGTTCAAGCCGATAAATGTAACCGTTTACCAGGAAATCGCTATTAATGTGTTATTAAACATCAAATATTTTATCATTCTTTCTATAATTATGTACAGGGTGTCCCGAAATTAATGCAACAAAACTTGGTCATAGATTCTTAAGACAAATTTAGGGGACTCGTATTTTTTATTTTTGCTAATAAAACGATAAAAAACTAAAAATACCGTTTTTTATTAAATTCTGTATAGGATTTATATGTTGTTTAACTTATGCGTGTTATGACAGCAGAAATGGTTCTACAGTTCAGAGTATAATTTGTGCCAATGTATGTAGACATGTTGTACAATTTTATGTTCTGTGTGATTTTTGTTAAAATTGTTTTAATTGTTTTAGGATTTATACATTGTACTTTTTTTATAATAATATCAACTGTTTTATTTCATACTGTCCGGTATATTGCTATTTCCCGGATTCATTTGCAGCCGGTAAGTGAGCTATTACAGTATCAGAACCGGTAAATTCATTTGCGGCCGGTAAGTGAGCTATTACAGTATCAGAGCCGGTAAATGTTGCCTAGCAACGTGATATTAGACATGTCACAAACAATATTATAAAATGACAGATCAAGCGATGTCAAACAAAAATTTGATAATTTTAAAGAAAAAATAGAAATTTCTGCTCGTTAAAAATAGAAAGACAGTATGAAATAAAATATCATACGATACACGGCCGTTAGATGTTATTACAGTACTCGTTTTTATTCCGGACTCGGCTCCTACGTCGCCTCGTCCGTAAAACAACTCGTAATGTAATAAGTCACCTACCGGACTTGTAACGTAAAATACTATTACAGTTCAAATTTAAACTGAAAATTGACATACCACATTTGTACGAATGTATGTAAACAGTGGTCAAATAAATATCTATCTATCTATCTATCTATCTATCTATCTATCTATCTATCTATCTATCTATCTATCTATCTATCTATCTATCTATCTATCTATCTATCTATCTATCTATCTATCTATGTATCAACCTCGGCCATATTTTTTTTATCTCTTATTTCTATATCATTTGTAATTTTATCAGAGAAAGCATATATTATATGTGTTTATATGTATTATAATTAAAAGAAATAGATTTACGTGTGCAGAAAATAAAATAAAACTTTTTTTTTTACAAATTTCAACAAAATTTGTTATTTGTTTTTATTTGCATGTTATTTTCCCTGCTTTTTATTTGTCACATTCAGTGATTTAAAAAAAATAAAAAATTTTTTTTTCAAACCGTCAGATTAAGAAAACCCCTCCAAATAATCGTCAGATTATGGATCAGTACGACCAGGGCATCAAACTGAACCATGTATATGAAAATCTGACGCGCTCGAGTATTTCATAATGGCGATTTTTTGGCTACGAGTTTGCGTCACATCCGAATCGTCAGTCTTTTGAATGGGAGCTTCGTTCGGGTTCACTTAACATCCCCTCTGAATATCTGACGCGCTAGAGTAATTTTTTTTCCCCATTTTTAACCTTTCCGTACGGCCGCCCCCACCATCCAAATCGGCAGATTAACATATCTCCATCATCGGAGACACGTAAGGCATATACACTATCAATATCTGACGTGCCCGAGTATTTCCATGTGTTTTTTTTTACATTCTTGAAAGCCTGTAGACGCTTCCCCCACCGATGACAGGGTACCTATGCATCATATAATCTTTTTTCTTTCTACCATCTAATCTTCAAAATCCAATAGGTCCCCACGACGCTCGAGTAAATCCCTGTTTAGCATCGTGGGCTCCCCTACTATTAGAAAAATAAATCGTCCACTTTCAAAGGGCCGGCAGTGTACATACTTTCTCGCGAAGATGTTTTATAAAATTTATATGCATGTGCTGTTTCTTATAACTGTAATGTTTGCGATGTCTTATAATAATAAACAATTTTTGAATTTTGAGTATTTAATACGAAATGAATTATTTACCTGTACTTGCAGAAGGAGCATACTTGATTGAGGACTATTGGGGGCGGAGGTTTGTACACTCGACGCCACCAAAGGAACTCTGGACTCGTCGCTCTGTACCAGTACTGCGCCTGAAAACATATATTGTTTATGTATTATTATAGTCATTACTAGCATCGTTGTAATATTTTGTTATTGGTTAATCACATAACATTCATATTTATTTATTGCTTTTGTTTAAAGAAAATAGTAAGAATCACGATTTTAGCAAATTCTCTTCATTTTCCAAGAAATAATTAAACAATTCTTTTTCGGAGATGTAAACTCTCTCTTTTTTTTTAGAGAAACCACATATGTTTGCATATTTTAGAATGCTTTCTTATAATAACAAAGTGTGTGGTTCTATTTTTCCAACATTATTAGATACGTGATTAAAAAAGTTTGCCACAAGCATAACGTGTGACAAAGATTTAGTTGCATTAATAATAGTCTCTTTCTAACATTACTCTTATGGCACATTATTTTTGACATTATCTCTCTCATTAAAAACATTGTTTCGAAAAAAAAATTAAACTTATAGTTACTGGTTGCTTGGGCATAAAGCCGTGATGGCGATCTATGAAGATATATAATATTTAATTACATAAAATGTTCTTCAAATCGTTTCAAAGATGTTGTTAAATTATTTTATTCATTTTTCATTGGGCGGGGTTTGTGTTGGTTTTAAAAAATTAAGTAGGTATAGGAAATATAAAAAATTCAAAACGTGCTCTAAAAACATACTAGGTAGGTAGGCAACTAGTTATTTGTCGACTTTACCTACTTCGTACACCTCGTACCAGCCGCCTGCGAAAAGTCCAAGTTTGACTTACTAATGAAATCAACTCATTGGGAATAGCCTGTATTCCCAAAATAATTTGTTTCCTATAATTTTCGAAAGAAGAAGCATCAAACGTAGAAAATATGGATTTATGTAAAGCAAAAAATATTTCTCTATTACAGACCAGATAGATTGAATGAAAGAGAATTGGACCTGAATACAAGCGGGAGTCGCTCTCACAAGGGTTTCAAAGGACTTTTAGAATTTTAGAATTAGAAGAAAGCAAACAGTTGATCGCACCGCTAGCGATGGCACTGGTTGCAAATTGTGGATAATTCAGTTATCAACAATGTACCGTGATATTTGTGGATGTAAAATATTCCTGAAACTTCAGAATCGAAGTCTTCCGAGATAATCAAGTGTCCATTTATTTAAGTAATGGTAAGTTCACCGCGCATTATTATTGTCGCTTCCAGTTATATATCGATCATAATGCATAGAAGATTTTGAAGAATCTGATTCCTGTTCAGATTCCGATAAATGTTCATTGTGTTCACCAACACAATCACTCAAAATCACTATCTTCCTCGATAAAGAGTGGGTTTTCTGAAACTTAATCTCCATCACTTGTAAAAGGTTTGAGCGAGTTTTTTCAACTCACTTTCAGTCAAAGGTCGACGCAAGATTTTCACTTGAAATAAAATTGGTACAGTAAAGTACTTGCACACCCCGATCCCTGTGTGTTTTTCACAAACAGTTTTCACCAATATCTACTGCCACTATACTAAAGATAATCTTAAGTTAGGAAAATACCTAAACCAACAAAAAAGTATATCATAATATGAATATACTATTTTTACAACAATTTAGTCACTGGGGTGTCAAAATATCCACGATAGTTAAGGGCTAAAATCCGTGGAAGAAGATCCCAATACCAATACTCAAAAATTAGCTACAAGATTTCAAGTATGTCATATGCTGTAAAAATCGGGTGAGTAAGCAGATCATTATTTTTGTATATTTCATTTGTCCTCATTTAATTATTACTGTTTGAGTTGAAAATATACAATTTGATATGCCACCTATTACGTGTGAAGTAGATTATAGTGATTCCATAAAGAAATTAAAACCGAAGCGTACATCCCTTCTCTTGTCTTAAAAGATTATTTTAAATGGCCTGTGTTGCATGTTTATCATTTACTTATAACAAATAAGTTGAGTTTTTAAAAATTCCTAAAGAATTAATTATGTTATTTATACCATATTTCAAAGATCGATCATTTACTGTAAAATATAATAGTATCTGTTCTGCTCAATACAAATCTAATTCAGCCTCAAAGCTCCAAGTCAGGCTAATAAGTCAGATTTTAATGTACGAAAATGTACGATAACTTTCATATGCAGGAAATTGTTAAAAGTGTATATATTCTTATGGAATGAATAAAAAATTATTAGTAGATTAATATTAAAAATTTAGGGATCACTATTGACACTATACTCTGTTTGGAAATGAAAGAGAGTAATAAAACCCCGAGATAAGAACCTGCCATGGGCGTGCTAATATTTCGTTTCAGGTAATTATCGGGTAACACTAATGCTAACAGGTAATGGGTGTACATTAGTATATTTTACTGGATACATCATAGGGCAGGAGTCAGTTATCATTCACAGACCGAGCGGACGCCTACGACTGCTTGGAGGAAATCTGCTTGGATATAATTCAATGGTTATCCGGAAAAAACATTTCTTTTGAAACAAATATGGTGAAAAAGGAACTTTTGACACTACTTGTCAATCTTAATAAAGATCAGAAAAAATATGTTATCGATGAAATGGCAACAAATCGCCAAATAATGGTACTACGGTTACCACCTTATCACTGTGAACTTAACCCAATCGATTTAGTCTGGGCGCAGGTAAAAGAAGATGTAGCGTGAAATAATACGACGTTTAAATTAAGTAACGTGAAAATTTTGTTAAAAAATTCCTTGGAACGAGTAACTGCAGATAACTGGCAAAGATGTATACATCATGTACAAAAAGAAGAGGAGAAAATGTAGGAACTCGATAATTTAATTGACGTTACTGTGGAACCTATCGTTATCAATCTAGGAGCCGAAGATAATTCATCAGAATATTCAGAGGATGAATTTTAATATACCTACTTTTTTATTTTCTTTATTGTACATTTATACAGCACTACATTTACTCACCATAATTCGAATTTTCAAAATACATATATTTTTGTGTGGAATAAAAGTCCATTCATTAAATTTAAATAAATATTTTGATAATAATATTGAATAATTTTATTTGAATTACTAAAAACCCTCTTAACCCGGTTATGATGCTTAAAGTAGCCTCATGTTTTGAAATGCTGTAAGAGAAATGGACCGAGAAATTGAAGCGGCATAGACAAAGACGGATTGTCGGGGATTAAATTTTAGCTACCTGCTAGAATTTAGTACAGTCCGATCGCACAAAGTTTTGTTAAAAGTAGACCTCATCTATACCGAAAATACATAATATAAAAATATTGAATATAAGCACCAGTACTACATTTGTTTACGATTTGCATACATAATGAGCTTTTATTACTCTCTTTCGTTTCTAAACAGACTATAGGCTGTCCTATAAACTACACAATGAAAAACTTATTCCATCAGCTTATAAAACATTGGATTCTGTATTTAGAGAGTGAAAGCATTTTATATTGATTAGTATGATATACAGATCATTAGTTATATCAAAATTGAAATGTGGTTCTTTATTATGGTATTCTCAACTTTGTTTACACAGAAAAAAGATGTAGAAATGGTTGTTACAAATTTTTAATTTCAAAAAGCATAACAGGTCTCTTGTTCATACAAATGATCTAAGTATACAATTAAACATAGCTATATTAGAAAATAAATGAATTATCGCCATTTTGTCTTTTTGATACAAAATTTTAAACATTTACATATTATGTAGTTATCGTCGTTGATGTACTCGAATATCCCTGCTAGAAACACTCGATTGAGAAAACTTTTTTGCATTATATGTTCGCAAGACATCACATTCTCCATTTACAGTGTTGTATCGTTTAATTAACATATTTACCTCCAATAATGAAATAGATATATTTTTATCTATAACATTTAATAAAACTATTTTAAACACATTTTCCATTGAATTTTTATATATTTTTTATGCAGTGCAACTCCTCTTTCTGTCTACTATTGTTACAATAAATGTAATGATAAATTAATTTTAATTAATCTCATACCTTTTGAAAATAAATAAGTAAATAATTTCTTTTCCCGTTTCTATATTGGATACTTGATGATTTGTGTAAATTAACTAATTCTCTATAATGCAGTTAAGCATTCAGGAACGATTCTGCTTGTAAGAATAAATTAAGCGGCTCTTCTAAATTGGCTTCTCTATTTTTAAATCGGCTGTAATTTAGTATATATTTAATTTAGATTATTACACAACACGTCATTCAAATCTAATTAGATAAAAATAATCATTGTAGAGTACTAACTGCACTGTCTAGAATAAGTGGAAGTAATAACAATCACATTGCGATAAACTTTCAGAACTATTTTTCACCAAAACAAATAAGGGCAACATTTCTTTCTTAAAATGTTTCCTAAGGACTACATGATCATTCAAATATGGACTCTTTTCCAGTGACGAATATTACAGTTATGATGAAATGAGAAATGTTTTGTTTAAATCTTGTTATTTTGTTTATTTTGAATTAGGTAAGGGATACATTATTATTTTCATTTTTTCATGTCAAGTTTACTACATTTCCGCAAACAGGTAGAGGAAAACTTCATAAAACAAAATGACGTTTCAGAAAGTTCACTGATAGGACAATATAATTTGCCATATATAATAATTTTAGGTACATACTACTGTAATATGCATACGTATTTGTATACTCAACACTTGCTAATAGTTTATAACCCGATAATATATGATCGATTGTTTCAACAAATAAATGGAATTTTCTGCATTTATCATTTGGGACTGTATGTAATGGATGTTCTTTATTATGGCAATATGATCTTAAGAATTTTATCTGTGTGACGTTCAGTTATTTTAAGTCTATTCTTCTTCCTCTTCTTTTCTACTTAATGTTATTCCTTCTTTACATGAGTTGGGGTGTAGTTTTCTATTTTTCGTTGTGTTCTGGTTAATATATTAATATTAAGTTTATTTTGGACCATTTTATTACATCAAAGGAGTATGTAAGGATTGAGACGGGGCACAGTGGGCGAAAACGTTCATTTACGTGCGAGGTAGTAAAAGTTGTCCAATATTTTTTTTAAATTGCGATATTTTAAGATCTCAACTTGCGATATCTTAAATAATAAACTACAATCAGAAATGTTTTCCATACTTGACACCATAGATAAAATAGACTGAACTGTAGAGGCAAGCCGGTGAAGTCAACCATCAGCCCAACTTCAGCCCAGCCAGACTCGCGCTCTCAGTCGCTGTTAGACATTCGCTGTGTTAACATTGTTAGTATTTTATTAAATATATTGTTTTTATTTGTGCAATCATGGGGCAGTGTATCGTTGACGATTGTAATAGCAGATCTGATCACAATAGTGCTGAAATTTCATTCCTTAGGTAAGTAATAATATAAAAATATTTTATGGCATTTCGACGGCTTCCGCAGCATTCTCCATCTCACGTGCACTTGTTTCCAGTGTTGGCTTCATGTTTTTTAGTGCCCACGTTATTAACTGATGTAAATATACAGGCTCATATTATTATCTACTGGCTATTTACAATTAGTTTTTTGTCACAATTGGTGTTTATTTTCATGATGGCTATTAAAAATACTTAATGAACCAATACTTAGTGAACATTTTAATGATCACTACATAATTTTATAATATTATCTTCACTAATAGTTTTTTATGAACATGAATAGTCCCAATCTTCAGATTCTTTTACGTCTCCTATCAGCTAACCTACCACGTCGCAGTCATCATATTCTGACCTAAGCAGTACATCTTCGATGTCAACTTTGAATATTACGGATAATGAAAAGTACGAAAAGGATTATATAAACATTTTAGTGAAGATACCCCAAGAAAGAAGAAATAAAATATGTATGAAGTTAGGGGGTTTTCCTTCATTTCCAAAAAACAAAAAAAAAAGATAACCCGTAGAAGATAAACGTCGTTTAAAAAAGGAAAATGACAATTTAAGAAACAGAAAAAATAATATGTATTTTTAATAACTAACAACAGTACACCCAAGCTACAGAAAAATAAAATTGTGTATCATGTATTAAAACACTTTTTGAATCTGATGATTGTATTTAAAAATATGCATAAGAACTTGTGAGGACTGTATGTGAAAAGTATATCGATGTGAGAATAAATCATGAAGTTAAAATATTTAATTTAGTGAAATCTACTAAAAGACAAATATTAAATAAACTACCATTACTTAAATCATAATAAATATATTTAAATTATTGTGTAGGTTTATTAAATATAAGCAAGACATTAAAATATGAAAATTTGGTGACAATCGGTTAACTTTCAAAAATTTCGTCCGGCATCTTGATTTCGCCGCCATTTGGAAATTTTTTAAATGGTCAAATTCATATCTGAACGTAAAATTTTACGCTCTTTCCATTTCCGAGGTCAAAAAGGGTTGGTTCCCATTAAAAAATCTTCTTGACCCAATAATGACCACGTGGTCAGTGGTCAGTGGTCATGGCATGGTCACCATTGAATAGCCAGGGAAAAATCCTAACTTTCCCTATGGTTGGTTTTTCCGAAAAATGCATATCTCGCGAGATTCTTTGGGGTTCCCATACTTTTATGCCACCCTGTATAGTGTTGGCAAACATGTACTCGGTCTATAACTGGCAGGATTTCGTGTTTCTTCGTTCTTGGGTTTTAAGAATATTTTACCTATCATTATTGGTGTGAGCTCTAGTTGTACGAATTGTTTGGACCAGTTTATGTATGTTGTCTTCACCTGGACATTTCCGATTATAATGTTTTCATGATTATCGATGTCAGTTTTCCGTCTGTGATGAAATGTTCTACTTGCGCTGGGGTACGTTGTGTCTCTTGGTTACATCTTTTAACCATTTAGCATGTTCATTATAATGTACTGGACTGTCCCATATGTTATTCAAATACTTTGTTATTTGTTCTTTACTTGGTAGTGTTATATCAGTTCTATTGCATCATGTCATAAAACTGTTTTTCTCTATTTCTAAACATTAAATTTCTTTCATTTGATTATTTATGTTTTTAAGCAAAGTAAACTGCAAGTCTCTGTTTCAATATTTCAAGCGTTCCGTGTACTGGTTGATTGTTCATGTCATTTATATGAAGAACTTTTTTGTTAAAGATTTTTTTTAATTTGGTAGAATGTATTGGGTTGTTCTACCCATAGCTTGTCTCAATTTGTCTTTTTTACCACTCGTATTTGTCATCCTGGTTTCCTTGACAATTGAAAATCTTTTTCTGTTATTTATTGTCCTTTTTGCTTCAGTGCAATTGTTGTACTTTCACAAGCATACATGAGCATTATGAATCTATGTTTTCCATTAGATAATTATACAAAATGCTATTATTTATTTTTCTAATTATGTAGTCAGTGTTATCATTTATCTTTAATCTAGGTAAAATCGATCTTGGAAGGTGTTTATCACAGCCGATCAATGAAAAATATACGTATCCTATATACACGAACAACTCGGAGATAGTGTTTATTTATCACAGTAAACCCGAAGGCTCCCTGAAAATGGTGCTCTCATGTAGGTGGAAAAGGGATGGTGGACTCTGCAAGTTACCGAGAATATTCTTCTCGGGGCCACAGAAATTTTACTCTTAAAAGCATATAAATCTTTTGGAACTTGTACTTCGGTAGGATCGGATAAATAAGTAAAGGAAAATAATCTTACTCGTCTGCCTGTGTCCTATGACTGAAACTATTGCTGGTTCTTGGAGTTGAGTTCTGATTACGAACTGCTGTTTCTAGTCTCTGCGGTCTGGATTTGTCGCTTCGATTCCCACCTGACACACTAGTTACGATGGGAGTCATTTGCACACGAACCGCGACTTGCTGGAGTAGAGTATCGCATCGTACAAACTTAAATAAGGACTCTATCTAGTTAATAATAAACCTGGAATAACGGCTCATAAATAAAAAATAAACTGCAAATCTTACAACCTAAAAGTGGACCATTAAAAGTTTCATTAATGGTCATAAACGAATTTTTCCCGAGCGTCCTTCCAGGCCAATAGATTATGCAGCAAATATCCTGCCAGTCAACAAGCGATGCTTCTAGAGCTAAAACAGCTAAACAGCTAAAATAGTGGATCAAGATGTCGATTTTGGTCAATTCCAGTGAAAAAGTAATCACCATAAGATTGTACCTGAAGAACAGTGGAATTTAATATTCAAAGCGGCTTTGGACTTTCTTCACAGTGAAAACCCTTTGAAAGCAGCACCTGGAGCCGAACCAATTAGTCTGCCTGTGACTTTTAAAGGGTTCACATTGCAAGTTTTTGTACTCTTAAGATACAAGGTACTAGTGCATCGTCGCGTCGCAATTAATTAACATATTTTAAATGTGTTGGAGAAACCGTTCTTTAAAAATGCCATGGTAAATTTCGAGAAGTGTTCTCACAGTCCGCATACAGCAACCAAGTGAACAACGATGAATCCGGATTCATATTCAGTAATAAAATACGCATATTGGTTCGAATTATTATATGTGTATCAGAGCTGTGCAAAGCTGATATCTCGTTTCGACGATGGTAAAATTCGAAAGGATGGGCAGTTCGCTGCTGCTCCACAAAATCCGATACGATTTGATGATACTCCTGTAGATAGATCAGGGTCTTATGACCGTGATGATGAACTCAATCAGTCAAAACGAAAGTATCGTGTTGGAAAATCTCGGCTGGAGTGTCGATCATTTCACCGTTGGGTAAATTCGATGTAAGCATCCTTCATCGAATTCGCATATTTCCAGAAAATTATCGTAAATTTGAGGCAGGAGCTGGTACTTATCTACAACTCCACGGATATGAACGCTATTGTTTGTAGAATGTGAGGAATGTATCGGTGGCTAATGTGGGACATTTGAAATTGTTTAAATACTTAAACAGAAACGTACATATGTGGAGTATAAAGACTTCTTCACAGTTTGAGAAATCTAGGTTCATAAATTTCTGCTTCCAGTCGGCTCGTAGGTTTTTTCTAAATTCAGATTCGTACCCATACGACAACTGGATTTTTCAAAAGAATTATTATACCATCCTGTATTACATTCATGTTAAATTTCAACACTCCTATTATCAAATTTCGGAGGAGCGGAAAATTCCAAGTCAAGTAGACTGTGACTCACGTGCTCGGTCTAGATGATGGTCATTATGATACAATTTACTATACAATGGACGATATCATAGTCAATAATGTGTTAGCACCGGTGCTCGTGAAAGAATTGGAAAAAAGAGATGGATGGAGTCCTATTCACCTAATAATATTATCATTAACTTGGAGCCGTATGGCTACAGTAGAATTAACGATTTAATGTTATCTAGCTTAAAATTTCTTTGTAATAAGTATAACAATATTAATTTACGCTGCACTAAGTAGAATATCTATGCTATATATCACATTATTGTTAACAGAGACAAGATTTTATTTATATATTTTAAATACACTAAAACATATTACTGAACTCTGTACTGAGCAGGGAGAGGTGGGCGGGAGAGAGAGTCTGAGCGGGTCTTAGAGCACATATCCATTCAGTGTATTAGTGGCAACAGTAACAGCAACAGCACCAGTATGACACAATGAGAGATAGAATAATTTAAATGTCGGAACTCCTGAATAGAGTGCAAGATTTGGTAATTATTTACTATATCGTAAAAACCTCAAATCGTCACAAAAATTTACCTATCCCTCTATTTTCGAGGGAAGTTATTTTTTGTGCGGTCAAACGTAGTTTTCGAGAAAAATTTTTAAAAATTCTAACGTCCTTCATCGATCATTCCTTTGCAATTCGTGATATCATTGAAGTTCTTCCACTCTCATTCATCTGTGATCATCGGAAATAAGGTATACGAATATATTTTTGTAAGAATAGCAGAAAAATAAAAAATATTTATTTTAAAAACAAATAGAAACATTTATTCCTCTAAGTTTTATGCTCATTTGCCAATAACATATTTGAATACTTTAACATAGCAAATGAATTAATTAATTATTGGTAGTATATTGAGAGTACATAATTTGTTGAGCAAGAGTAGTTATTTTTTTATTAAAATAAATTATTATTCAGCAGGCATCATATACAAGTTGAGTTAGGTTAGGTTACATTGTGATCAGTTGTGTTAGAGTTGAGTTAGGTTAGGTTAAAATGGTGTTAGATTGTGTTAAATTTGAGTTAGGCTGGATTAAAGTTGAGTTAGGTTGTGTTAAAGTTGAGAGTTCCATACAAAAAGGGGTTCGGCGGGGTGGATCGGGGGCATCATCCGAAAGGTGGAGGAGGAAATAAAAATCACTGTGAATGTTGCGCAACACAAAAAAGAAATCAAGAAGGCTGCGGCGACTCTAAGAACACTGACGGCCTGGATGGATGCTAACTCCTTAAAAAGAATATCAGTGAGAGTGGAATCTGAGTGATCGACGACGAGAGGATGAAGGGGGTCAAAGGTTATAAGAGTATCCAAAGCCTTGCGGACTATAAACTTCCGGAAGCTTTCTATAAAGTGGCGTTTGTGAGAAGGACTTGCCACTCAAGGCTGACAGGTCCGCGGGCCTAGTCATCCTGACGGAGCCAGACGCGGAAGGGAACGCCAACGACGAAATCAGAGGAGCTCTTTTAAACAGATTCCCTGATGCCGTTGATTTTGAGGGTAGCTTAGTAGTAGTAGTGGTAGTATAGGGGCGGCCTCAGCCTGGCAATTAGGCCACAAGTGGGCCCTTTTTGCCTACCCCGCCGTCCCATCACCTGACCACTCTCTGCCTCTGACCCTCCTCGAACCTACCCGGCCGCCCTAATGAACGCCAGGATTTTGGTCCATGGAAGGTCTCTCACCTCAACCCCCTGCAGCTCATCAGCACCAAAGACTTTATGTCTTATTTTCCCAAAGGCTGCACACTGTCCCAGAAGGTGGACAGGGGTGTCTTCCCCTTCGCCACATTTCGGGCATAGAGGGTCCTCCTCAATTCCTATTAAGCTTAAATGCCTCCTAAGTCTGCAGTGGCCTGTCAGAACCCCTACCATTTGGTTTAGGGCTCTTCGACTGAGGCACAGCAGCCATCTTGTCTTGGATTTGCTAGGTCCATGTATAAAACTATGAGCCTGCCTGCATCCTCTATTTCTCCTCCAATCCAGACCTAAAGTTTGATAGGCCCACTTATTGAGCATTAATGCTGCCTCGTGTGATACCTAAGATTGGTTCAGGTCCCTGGACCCAAGACGAGCTAATTGATCCGCCCTCTCGTTACCAGGGATGCCCCTATGGCCTGGGACCCAAACCAACTCTACTTCTTTTCGTCTGGCCAATGACTCTAGAGCGTCTCCACATTCTTGGACAAGGGCAGACCTAGTCCTCGGGGAGCTAACCGCTCTGAGCGCGGCCTGACTGTCGGAGCAGATAAAAATCTTCTCCTCTGCACAATTCCTTACCTCCTCCTTGCTTGCTACCATCAAAATAGCAAAAACCTCAGCCTGGAAGACTGTAGCATACATACCCAGTGAAAAGCTTTCCTGGATGCCGCTGCCTTCCAGATAAATTCCTGTTCCTGAAAACTCGTCTTCTACCCGAGATCCATCAGTATAGCACACTAGGGATCCCGGGGAGAACATATCACCATCCTGCTTCCACTGCTCTCTCGAGGGGAAGTGGTGACATACTTCCTTCCTAACCTAAGCCGGTCCTCTGCTTCCGTAACCCTCATGGCGGATATTGGGATGTCCCTCTCCGCCCTGAGGGCCACGGCAGCATGGCCCTCAGTGCGTCCTTTAGCTCTCCAACCGCCGGCGTCCCTTATCCTAAGGTATGCCGCCATCGCCTCCCTCATAATCCATGTAGGAAGGGTCGGCAGCCCCAGAAGGACCTCTAACGCGGCAGTTGGGGTCGTCCTCATTGCCCCTGTAATACCTAAGCAGGCAAGTCTCTGGATTCTCACCAACTTCCTGGCTACCGTCACCCGGTCCACACACGGCCACCAGACCAAGGCCCCATACTGTAGCCTCGGCCTGACCACCGCCGTGTACACCCAGTGAAGCACCCTTGGATTGAGTCCCCAGTTTTTGCCAACTACCTTCCTTAACTACCAGAGGGTTGCCACTGATTTCCGGGTAATCATCTCAACCTGTGGCCCCCACGACAGTTTGCTGTCCAAGATTACCCCCAAGTATTTGACTTCCCTGACCAAAGTCAGGGGCCTCCCATACATGGTTGGAGCCCTGAAATCACCTATCTTCCTTCTCCTTGTAAATAGGATCATCTCAGTCTTCTTTGAGTTGACTGAGAGCCCCATCTCCTCGCATCACCTCTCTATGATCCTACAGGCTCCCTGCATTCTGTCGCATACCACGTCCAAAAACCGGCCCGCGACTAGAACCACGCCATCATCGGCGTAAGCCTGGGCATCACTGTATCCCTCCGAGGTTAGGCGTTCCAGAAGACCGTCCATTACTAGGCACCATAGAAGCGGGGAGAGGCAGCTGCCTTGAGGGCATCCCCCTCCCACTCCCAGGTCCCTACGACAGTCATCCATGACTGCACTAACTTTCCTTTCCTTCAATGCGGAACTCACCCATTCGACCACGATAGGCGATGTGCTCCTTGTACTGAAGGGCCTTCTCTACTTTATGTGTGACACTATGTAAGGCCGTCTCCGTGGACCTGCCCCGCCTATAGGCGTGCTGGTTCGTGTGGAGGGTAGCTTAGCTGCACTCTCTATAAAAATCAGGAAGACTAGAGAGGGACCCATTGAAAGGGTCAACCAAGTAGGTGTACAAGGTTGAAATAAATTTTCCACATGGGTACGAGGTCCTGGTCAGTATTAGAGGGCGCATGTAGCGGGATGGACGGAAGAGGTTGGCAATGTACCCACCAACGATCGACCAAAATGGCTGTGAGATGAGGAAAATCGCTAAGATCATCTTCAAAGATGCGGACATGAAATGTCTGATTTACGTCGAACGCCTGGTCAAGCCCAAACCAAGAACCACGGAAGCAGTTCTTGTAAGAAAAGAGGGGAGTAGCTTGCCGGAACTCCTCAGGGAAGTGAAGGACACGGTGGCCCCAATCTCAGACGCGACAAAGGGTAGAAGAACGATAAGAAAATCCTAGGAGGAAGGCTTGCTTATAGTCATGGACAAAGTGGACAAGGAGGCTATAGGGAAACTTAAATTGGAGCTTTAATTTAGTGGGAAGTGAACATGTTAAACCTATGGGGGGAAAGCAGAACAAGATAGTCGTCATCAAAGATATAGACGACTTGGTTACCAAAGAAGGCAATATCAAGGGAGATTGACATGGACCCAAGCAAGTACAGGCTGGATGAGATGCGGCCGTGTTAAGGTGGTAACTAGGGTGGGATTACCGCCGGTTAAAGCAAAATCGCTGCTAAAGGTTGGGAAGATTAGAATTAGGCTTATTTCCTGTCTGGTGTTGGAAGAAGTAAACCAATGTTATCGCTGTTGGGG